CGAAAAAAAAAAATCCACTCAGTTTTTATGAATAAGATCTTAATAGCCTAGCTTTGGTTCCTCAATACTGAATGTATAATGCATCCTGATCCCTCCTCCATGCTCCTTTCACTATTGCCACTTAGAAAGAAAAAAAAAAATAAATTAATGGTCAGAAACTGCTGAGACAATGTGTCGAAGCAACATATTTTAACATAGGGAGCTCCCCACAGCAGACTCTGCTTTGCGACACGACTGCAGACTTGCCTGGTCTTTGTCATAGTTTGGGGGCAGTGAATGAAAAGCGTAGTTAGAGCTGCAAGCAGGTAACGCACTACAGTGAAGGTTCTCAGCTGTGAGGAGAGAACACACACTCCAGAACTCAGGAGCTGGACCTGTTCTTTCTGCCCTTCCTCCCAAAAGGCACAGGAGGAAAGAGGAAGAAGTAATTTCCCTTCTTTCTCCCCCTTTCCTAGAATAGCTCTGCTGCTTTCACTTAAGCCACCAAGACTGGATATAAGCTACCAGGGACTGGCACTTTTCTGATACTGCATCAATCACTCCCCTGTGGCCAATTTCAGGGGTCATTTTCTGAGATTGGAAATATTTCTACTCCTACTCTGTAAATACTATTCCTGAAAGCTTTGCTCTTTCTATAGAGCCTTAAACACCCCCCACTGAAATCTGCAAAGGGAAGTGGACAGCACCAAGTAATCCTGTACTCTGGCAGTGGCTGAAAGCAAAGAAAGGCTAGCTCTGCTAGCTACGTATTGTGTAAGGTTTCCCCAAATCAACACTGTGGACTTGAGCACAAAGAGAGTCTTAGAAGCAGCTTAAGTAACATCAGGTTCTGACTTGTGTTCTTAAGCTGTCATTTTAACTCTAGCTAAAATTTAGAATGCTGAAAGCTTTCTGCAGAAACTTAAGAACACAGAGAAGACATTCCAGTTGTGGCTGTTTCTGCTGTGGCAAGAAGTTGCTAACAGAACATCCTTACTGTAAAAACAAAAATTACCTGCATTCCTTCAAAAATTGTAGGGTATGTGATATTGCGGCCTTGTCTCTGCAGGCACAAATACTGTGTGGGTTGAGTACAAGGATGTGTTCTGTACAGCTGTATTTGGGGGAACACAAAGGGGGAGGAATACACTGCTTTTCTTCTCCATATTTGGAAAGATGCTTGGCCATGTTTCATTGAGTAATTCAAGCAAAAAGCTATTTGGCTAAAGGACAGCAATCCTCAGACTGTTTGTTTGCAGAAGGGTTTTTAACTGGGGGTAAAGATTTCCCTTTTGTTTAGTAAGCAGGGTGGTATTAAACGACCATATGATCTTGTGGGGAGACAGTAAAGAATTACTGGAATTCATGAAGTCTGTGGATTTTAATAAGACAATTAGAGAGATACAGTAATGTGATTGTAGAAGCAGCTTAAGTGCTGCTCTCAAGCTTTCCTTAAGACCAGTCAGCCCTCTTCTGCCACATGACAAAGGCAGTTTATTCACAAGATCTAATGTTTTTTTTGTTACCTGCTGGTTTGTAATGGAATAGTCGCAGTCCAGCATCACCTTCTTATGCACACTGTCATCAAAAGCCACATGAAACCTGCATTTTCTGTACAAATAATGAAGCCCAGGGCAGATATTTTGACCGTCAGGGACACTTAAAGTGGGAAAAACTCCTTCTGCTCTCCATTTTCCCATCTGCTACAGATAAGTATGAACCAAAGCACAAATAATATGCATGAATACAACAGGGAAAAGACCATCAAAAGAAGAGGGCTTAAGCGCACCAACATGGAAAGGATTTGTAAAGAGCTGGCAGGCAGGCTCAGAGAAGGCAATTTCATTACAACAGAGATTTCCCCTGGAAATGCTGCTTTCAGAAAAGCTTAGTGTACATATAGTGAACAGAATGCTTGCTGTTTACACAAACACACACACACAACCTCCACCAATTGCAAGGTGGTTTTTTTCTCTTGCAAGAACAACCTTGTGGAAAAAATTCTTTCTTGAGGATTTCACTGGATGAATTCAAGCTTTTAAGTTAATACCAGACATTTTTCTATAGTTTTCTTAAATCACATCAGGAACACACTTGAATACTTTGGCTGCCCTCACTCTCCCTCATACCATTAGATCGTGCTTACTACAGATGTTGATACTGCCTTCTCAGAGTGTCTTGTAATGCTTTGCTATCTCCTCTCTGCACAACTAGATTGAATGTCAATGAATGTAAAGAGAGCTACCTGTGTTATGTACAAGGGAAAACATATGAGAAGAGTTACTCACTATATACAGGTCACTGATTCTTTTCAAAGTCTTTCTCATGCTAATTACTCAGGGACTGAAAGGAAATTTCTCCTCACCATTCAAATTTTCCTGGATTTTGCCTCACATCAGTACCATGCTAGAGCCTCAGTCTTGCATACACAGTCAGAACTTAGCTGTTCACCTATTTACTCCTTTTCTACTGTGAACTCCCTGTGTGACAAATATATTTACATCTCGCACTGATGACTTCATTCTGCTGCCCTGTACACATCCAAATACAGCTTTTATTTACACCAGTAAGAGCTTCTGTGTAGCATGACTGCAGGAGCTGCATGACCTAGGAGAATACACATTTTCACAAATTGTACATGTATTGAGGATTAATTTATAATTGTCCTGTTATCTTTTGCATTCATAATTTTGATGAGATCACTAAGACTGACATCAACTGCTCTGTTCTTACAGTTAGTCACCTCTGATTGCATATTGGCAGTACAGGAGGTGCATATGAAAGCTGGCCTTTGATATTAACCATCTTTCCTTTGCTAAAAATATTTCTAATACATTTTCCTTTCCTTTGCTTCTGAGTCCTAAAATGTGTGGCATTTATAAATACGAATCTAGCTTTATGTAAACATGCAGAAAACAATGGAACTAGCAGTTAAGTTTCCCAACAAACTAAACCAGTCTAGAGAAAAGTACTTTTTACAATCTGAAAACTCAGGAGTAGCAGCAGTACATCATAACTGCAATGGTCCACTACAGTTAGGAGCATCTTGCAGAAACCAGACTCCTCTTGGCTATACTTTTCCATTCTTTCATTCTGCTTTGTGCAAAGACCAACATGATCTGTAGCCCAGTACAGTGCAGAAGGACATTGTAAGTTGTACTAGTAGTGTGACTCAGACTAGAGTGGATGCAACTACAGCATCGTTTCTTTAATCTTCCAAAGACCAACGATGCAAATCAACTTTCTGAGAATTTTGGTGGTTGTAGCAATTTTCAGCTACCTGTCCGAAACAAAAAGTTGGCGGAGTAGCCCAAGTGTGATGTTATATCCTTCATGTCACTATAACATTAGCAGAAACTGGTCTGTCCACCAGCTATTCATCCTTCAGTACCAGAACTACTCTTCACATTTGACTCCGTAAGAGTGCCTGATTGCTATCTTCTCTTCAAGCACTAAGTTGCAGAAGTATACTTCCTGCAGGAGAAACAGATTTTTGTGAAGCACTTGGACAACTACATAAAGTAAAAAAATAATGTTGGATCCACATATCAGACGCATCATTTCCCTAATTAAACATCTTCTGTTACTTAGTCTCCTGTCATTTGCAGCCGAACTTGAGTATTGCTGGAAAGCCAAAAGGACAGTATTGGATCAATTTTCCACCACTGGGAGCCCCAGTGAATAAAGAGTAAATAATTCCATTACATGTAAAAGTGGGGTTTCACTTGCAAATGTACCAATGTACCTGTGTATTCCATAGCACTGTGATATGTCAACAAAAGTAAACTAAAGGAGAGAGGAGGAATAGAAAATGTATAAAGGAAGGAGAAATACCAACTAAAGGCGAAGAGTTGTAATCAACATGTTTACATGGCTGACCTATCCCAGGGGAATGTTTCTGAGACTGAGTTTCTTCTGGAAATGGAGTTGATTAGGTAGAAAACTGTTTTATACTAAACTAATGGTTAAAATAAACAAAAGTTCTTGCCTCATAACAGTCTAGAGAATTAAATCTGTAGCGAAGTTGGCTGAAGGAATAGTGGGTCCTGAGTTTGGGCAGGAGGTCTCTTCGGGAACATTTCTCTCTTCCAAAGTGATTCACAGACAGCAAGACAACACAGGAAAAAATTCCAAGAAATGGCTTGTAATCTCACACGTGGCTATAAGGAATTTTTCATAACAAGCCCAAGTTATTGTAACTGTTGCTACATCCATGTATATCTCTATATATATTTACGTACACATATCGATGTACATATGCAAGCACTGTCCCTACCTTTCATGCACACACCCTTGTGGACACACACCCCTCTCTATCCAAACACCTCGCCGACACTTCGGTGAGACATACATCAATAAAGTATTGTATGTACATCTTGAAAGTTGGAAAACTGAATCCACAGATGGCTGAAGTGAACAACAGAGTGAAACTGTGACAGCCAGGAGCGGAACCAGAGCATTCGGACCCTTCAAACATCCCAGCCGCAGGCGCATCCTCCGCGCAAAACAAAGGACTAAATTAACCACGATTAATTCAGCACGTGTCAGTGCAAGCCCTTGCTCCGTACCCGCGAGCAGCAGCTCCAGCCCGCGCGGCGGGGAAGCGGAAAAGGCGCTCCTCTCTTTTCGGGGGGGGTCCTGCCTTTTCGCCCCCCTTTCCCCCCCCCCATCCCCCGCTTCTCGGAAGCCGGGCATCGCTTCGCTTCGGCTCGCCGCGTTTCCAATGACCGCCAGCTGCCGGGCTGGCCCCCGACAGCCGTGTGGGACCCATCGGGGCGGGACGAGGCGGCGGGAGGCGGGGAGGGACGGGGGAAAAACGTTACCGAAAGGCGCGGGGGGGGGCAACCGAGAGGGGGGCGTGCGAGGGGCAGCGCCTCAGCCGCGGGGGAGGCCCGCGGGGGGATTAAAGGGCGCGGATACCTGCGGGGGCAGGCGGGGAGGGAGGAAGGGAGGCAGGGAAAGAGGGACAGGCCGGCCGCCCCTCCGAGCAGAGAGGAGGTGGGGCGTCAGGGGGCGACCAGCCGCTCTCCTCCCGCGGCTGCCGGCGTGTCCCCGCGCCCGCCGCCCCGCCATGTGGACCCTGGTGGCTCTCTGCTGTTGGGGGGGGCTGTCGCTGTCGCTGTCGCCGTCGGTGCCGCAGGGCCGGGCGGGCGGCCCTCCGGGCGCCCTCTCCCGCGCCCCAACTTTGGCGTCACCCGCGCTGGCGGCGCCGGCGCTGCCCGATACGACGGAGAGCAAAGTGGAGAAGCTGGGACGCGCCTTCAAGCGCCAGGTGCGGCGGCTGCGGGCGCGCAGCGGGCGGCTGGAGCTGGTCTTCCTGGTGGACGAGTCGTCGAGCGTCGGGCCGGCCAACTTCCTCAGCGAGCTGCGCTTCGTCAAGAAGCTGCTCTCCGACTTTCCCGTGGTGCCCGCGGCCACGCGCGTCGCCATCGTCACCTTCTCCTCGCGCAGCAACGTGGTGCCACGCGTGGATTACATCTCCCGGCGGCGGCCGCAGCAGCACAAGTGCGCTCTGCTGGGACGCGAGATCCCCGCCATCGCCTACCGCGGCGGAGGCACCTACACCAAGGGCGCCTTCCAGCAGGCGGCGGTGAGACGGGGCGGCGGGCGGGAGCTGTGCCCTGCGCTGGGGGGCCTGGCACCGCGGTGCGGGGGCGTGCGGGGGTGCGGTGTGGTGAGGAGCGCGGTGAGGAGCGCGGTGGGATGCGTGTTGAGCGGTGCGGTGAGGGTGAGGTGAGGGGTGCGGTGAGAGGAGCGAGCGGTGGTGCCGTGAGGTGCGGTGCGCTGTGGCAAGGGGACGTCTCGGCAGCGAGGGGAAGCGCGGCTCAGTGTGCGGCGCAGGAGTGCTCGGGGTGTTGGGGCGTGACGGCTCGGGGTGTGGTGTGCTGGGCAGTGCGTGTGTGCGAGTGTCTCTCTCCGTGCCGTGCGACGGTGTTCAGCGTCAAGGGATATAGGGCTGTATGATGGGGTGTGGAGTGGTGTAGTTGGGACGCGGAATAGTCTGGTCAGGGCAATTAGTCATTATCTTCCTGTGCTGTCGACCTGCGATTCCCATATTTTCTGCTGCCCTTGCAAACAAATGTGCGAAATTCACTCTTTGAAGGGGCATGGAGCCCATGTCTCTATTTCAGAAGTGATATATATGAGACAACTCTGGCATCTGAAACGTCTGCCTTGTTTTATGGTGGTGGGACTTGGGTACCCAATAGCTATCAGCAGTCAGAGATACCAAATACTGTCGCCAGGAGACTGCTTTAATTACTGATGACTGACAAAGATGCCCTTAAGTGTGTATATTATACCAGTAAATAGAAGTATGTCCAGGAACATTTTCAGACCCTGGAACGTAATCATCTGTAGTGTTGTCATACAGATCATGGCAGAACTTTGCTTTAGACAGCTCCTGGGCATGTATTCACACTTGATCACACTGAGGAGGCTTCCCACTGGATGGTTCATGGACGGCCAGTCCACTCTGGAAACTTTCTTACCAGGCTGCTCCTTGTCATTTGCCCTGTGGGTGCAGGAGCAACCCCCAAAGCAACTCTCGTTTTCTGGGGTTTTTGCGTCTAATTTCTGGTAGTGTTCTGTAGCTGAGCACTGGGTGTACTTGTCTTGAAACATCTTATGCATTCTCATACAGAGTTGAGGAGTGAGACTGCAAGAGGTGCATCACTGCTGGGCATGTGAAATTGGCAAAGCTTATTCTCTTCTTCACATTTGGCAGGAGAAAGCAATTGTCTAATGTGCTCAGAGCTGCACAAGTCAAACCTGTTTTAGGAAAACACACCCCTGTATTAGATCTTCCACCTGAAGTCATGTTTCGATATAGATCCACATCAGAGGTGTTGTGTGAAATGGTTAAATGATACAAGTTAAAAATAACGGTTACAAACAAAATGTGAGCTTAAGAAATACCATCTGTTTTCTTGATACAAAATCTTGACTAATGATATCTTTAAAGTGAAATAAACAAAAATTCCCTTCAGAAACCTACAATTTAGTTTCATGAGCCCAGCTAAACTTTGTGGCTGCAACAGCATGACTGTCATTTTACACTGTAGTCTTATAAGAATGTGGGAAGAAAAATATTCACATGGTGACAGGGAGAACTGCAATAGAATGACAAGGTTAAATTCCAGTCTGCTTGCTGGCTCTTGATTAAAGATACTGTACTGTGGTTTTGTTCAGTATGATTTCTTCATGTCAGACAAATTAACATCTTCAGGAAACACTCTGTTTTCTAGACACTTTTCTGAAAATGACTGTTCTAAGCTTAAAATACTGCTATTGGAAGATCTCTATTTAAAGTCTAACAAAACTGTTATTCCCTCTGGACTCTTACACTGCTGTCTTTTGTTTTTAACTGTATTTTGGTACAACTGTAATTATTTCTTCTTTCACTTTTCTAAAATGTCACTTTTTTTTCTTATGTTACACTTTAATATGGGGTTTCTTCTGCTTCTGACCAGAATTCTCTACTTCTTTTCCAAACTCAAAAGTCTCTGTGAAGCATTACGAAGTCCCCAAAATAGTATCAGTTATGTCTTCTAGTAACAGACTATGAAGCAAAGTGCACACTTAGAATAATCCCAGCACTTAAATCGTCATGCAGCACTCTTGATTGTTAAAGTGATTAATTCATGCCTGTGACAGTTCTACGGAAACTACTGGGGGGGGAGAGAGATAAGTGAATTCTGCAAAGTCATCAGTCTGGTTAGAGTTGGACCTGGGAACACCAGTGAACAGGAGCAAGATTTACATAGCAGTTGTTCAGCAGGTCTCAGAACCCATGGCAGCAAAACCATTCATTTAACCCCATCCTAAAACCAGAGCTGCTCAGTTTGACAAGCTGCTGTGCAACCACGTAATGTCCATCTTCTTTGAAAACATAAGGGAGTTCTCCTTGGCGCTGTAGTTTTGCATCCTCTCCAAAGGTGCTTCACAGAGCAGAGTTTCTCTGTTTTGTCAGAGCTGTCCATGCTTATTTTTAACACTTGTGCCCCACTTTGACATTCCTACCCAGCAGATTGAAGATAAATTCTGTGATGTTTACAGAAATATGCTGGATGTACCACAAGAGACAGTGGCAGGAGATACCACCTTGATCCAGAGGGCTGATCCAGGTGGTGTCAATGTTTGGGTTTGATACCTTGTTTGGGAATTTCGTGCCACACTTGAGCCAGCAAGTGCTTATGTTCATCAGTCTTTCTTTTAAGGCACATGCAAACCATCTAAGAAAGGGGAAGAAACTGAGCTCACTCATGCAAAACTCTCTGGCTTCAGTTTTTCACAGCATAAGTTCGTGGGACAGCACAAACTACATGCAGCTTATGTTAAGCAGATTGCTTATTGCATTATGGAGAGCTACAGAGTTGTTGTGACAGCGAGAAAGAACCAAAGAAGAATTGAAAATACGAACAGGTTTGAGTAAGCATTGGTGCTGATGACTAAAGAATACATATAAAACCCAAATATCTTAGTAGTCATAACTTCTGAATTTCTGAGCTGTAGGCACCTGTATTGGAGCTTCTGATCCTAAGAGATAACCACTGCTATCATCACTCACTGTGCCTCATGGGAAGGATGTGCATCAACTCGTCATTGCCAGATGAGTTCTGAAATAGAAATGGGGGGGTCATCATATGATGTTGGAAGTTTGATGGGGTGTTCTTGTCTTAGCAGCCAAGACTCACAGTTACATATATGCCAGCATTGATGTGCCATCTTCATTGATGAACAGTTTAAACATCCTGAAGCTTCACTGGTTTTTGTGGGCTACTCTGCGTTGCAAACTCTTGACAAAATAACATCTGCTTCTAAGAGGACAGACTTGTTTCTGTCTTTCAGTGGAAGTAAAATGGGAAGCATTTCTCTTCAAAACTGAGCTGGAAGTTGTAGGTATGCACTGCTGTTGAGCAGAAGTCATAGATACCACTCAGCCAGCCTTAGACAAGCCAATTTTTCTAAACAATCTGGCAAAGTGGTAGCTGAGGGAGGCTTTGGGAGTCATTCTGTGTTAGTATAATAATTGTTGCATTAAAAAGTCTTCTTGCTTTTGTATTTCACCATCACTCTATTCAGTGGTATATGTAAACAGAAGGTTTGTCACAGCACCTACAGAATAAGGTGGCACATTTTCTAAGTATATGGTCCCTGAAATCTGGTTTTCAATCTAATGTGGATCATGACAAACAGCCAACCAGCATGTCAAATCCAGTGTTCTGTTGTTGTCCAATTAAAAAAAATTTTAAAAAGCCCCTCAAAAGAATGTAAGCACATATCAATTGAGAATAAACAGTTATAATGCTTATTTAGTGCTTGTTTAAATAAGTAATGGTGGCTCTGTTTCTTCGGTATGTCAAAATCGTGAAAGTACAAGATGCAGTATTGTCGCCCACTAGGAAAATTAGCTTTTAATTTCAGTGCATTTGCAGATTCAGAATCTCATTTTCAAATTAAAAAAAAACAATTAGTTGACACAAAGGGGATTGAAAATCTTTTCACAGAATCACAGAATATGCCACATTGGAAGGGACCCACATGAATCATCGAGTCCAACCCCTGACCCTGCACCCATTCCCAGGAGTCACACCATGTGCCCAAGAGTATCATCCAAAATCATCTTGAATTGTCAGGCTTGGTGCTGTTTGACCACTTCCCAGGGAGCCTGTTCCAGTGTCCAACCACCCTTTGGGTGAAGAACCTCTTTCTAATATCCAACCTAAACCTTCCCTCACAAACTTCAGGCCGTTCCTTCAGGTCCTGTCACTGGTCACCACAGAGAAGAGATCAGTGCTTGCCCCTTCTCTTCCCCTCAAGAAGAAGTTGTAACTGCAATGAGGTCTCCCCTAAGTCTCCTCTTCTCCAGGCTGAACAGCCAAGTACCCTCAGCTCCTTCTCATATGGCTTCCTCTCAAGGCCCTTCACCATCTTCATTGCCCTCCTTTGGACACTTCAGTAGCTTAATATCTTTCTTATGTTGCAGTGCCCAAAACTGCACACAATATTCAAGGTGAGGCCTCCCCAGGTCAGAGCAGAGTGGTACAATCCCCTCCCTTGACCAGCTGGCGATGCTTTGCCTGATGCCCCCAGGACATGGTTGTCCCTCCTGGGTGCCAGGGCATTGGTGACTCAGATTCAACTTGCCATCAACCAGGACCCCCAGGTCCCTTTCTGTGGCACTGCTTTCCAGCCTCTCATTCCCCAGTCTGTATGAACATCCGGGATGGCCCATCCCAGATGCAGAATCCATCACCTCTCCTTGTTGAACTTCATACAGCTGGTGATTGCCCAGTCCTTTAACTTGTCCTGCAGGGCCTCCCTGCCTTTGAGGGAATCAACAGCTCCTCCCAGTTTTGTGTCATCTGCAAACTTGCTTAGTATCCCTCCCAGTCCTGTATCCAAGCCATTTACGAAGATGTTGAAGAGCACAAGGCCCAAGATGGGGCCCTGCAGAACCCCACTAGTGACAGGTCACCAGTCTGATGTTACCCCATTCACTGTCACCTTCTGTATTCCACTCGTGAGCCAGTTGCTCACCCAGCCCATGTTGTGTTTATCCAGCTGTGTGCTGGACATTTTGTCCAG